ACTGTGAGATCATGGCCTGAGCCGAAGTCGGACGCTTAACTGACAGAGCCACCCAGACGCTCCTCACCTAAAAGGTTTTTAAAAAGCCTTTTAAAAAACGCTTAAAAAAAAAAAATTAAAAAGTGGCCCCGTTCCACCCACCATCACCTCTACCTCCCACTGACCTGTAGGATAAATCCAAACCCCTTGGTAGGGCGTGCACGGTCTCAAGAGCCATCCCCTGCCACCCTGTCCCCGCTTTCCAGCACGTCTCTGCGGGGGCCTTCACCCCAGCTCTTGCGACATGCCCACCGTGCCCCCGATACACCATCTACTTTCCCACCTCTGAGCCTCTGCTTGCACTGGTGCTGTGCTAATGTGTCCTTCTCTCCGCCACCTGCTGGTGTCCTCTCGTGGCCAGGCAGGCGGAGTGAAGAGCTCCGTGCTCTAGGATCCACAAACCCCGGAGTGGTCCTCTTGGGGATGTTCTCCCGCTGCTTTGTCACTATTTCCGCAGCTTCCTTCCCCGTCGGAACGTGGGCTTCTGGCGTCCGGGTTTGTGATCGATTCGTTTCTCTAGTTCCAGAGCCCCACGCGGAGCCTGGCCCAGAGTAAGAACGTACTACTGTCGTTGGAGGTTGATCGTTATTGGTACATATTAACAGGAGTAGATATCGTGTCTTCAGCCTTTGTTATGCACCGGGAGGAGGGCTGAACACCTTCCAGGTGTCATTTCATTTGATAACCCAGCGGGGTATTCGTAGTGTCCCCATTTTGCGGCAGAGGACCCTGGCGCAGAGGCTCATGACCCGGGGCTGTCTGTCCACAGAGCCCACAGTCTCCATCGCTCCGGTGAATTGCCTCGCAGAGAGCGGCAGTGATAGAGCACCCCCTCCTCACCCCCAGGGAGGGCCAGCACGCTGACCCTCCCTCTCCGCTGCCCTTCCTGCCCCTCCAGACTCCATCAGCAGCTATGAAGCCCAGATCACTTCTCTGAAGCAGCAGCAGCAGCAGGACTGTGAGGAGAAGGAGCGGGAGCTGGGGCGCCTGAAGCAGCTGTTGTCCCGGGCTCACCCCCTGGACTCCTTGGAGAAGCAGATGGAAAAGGTTGGGGTGACCTCCCCCCGGCCCCAGGATATGGAAAGATGTTGAGGCAGTCAAGGGGACCACGGGGCACAGGGATTGTCGGGCAGCTCGTTGGGAGCAGGGCACCCAGTCATAATTCTGGGTGTGGCATGTACTGGCTCCATACTTGGCAAGGTCCTGGCCCTGCCACTTTCTGGAGGGCTGGCCAGGTTTGTTTACTTCCAAAATGAAGGAGATCGTGTAGGCGGAAGGGAGCTGACACTTCAGGACAGCTTTCATACACAGGGCACTGTGATAACTGCGGGCCAGACCCCGTCTTTCCCCTGGAAGAGCGGTCCGTTAGACCCATTTCACAGATGAGTAAAGTGGGGTTTGAAGGAGTTCAGTGGGTCTCCCCAGGTTGTGCGCATAAACAAAGCAGAGTGGGAATTTCAAAACCTAGGCAGTCTGGTTCTTTTTTTTTTTTTTTTCAACGTTTTATATATTTTTTTGGGACAGAGAGAGACAGAGCATGAACGGGGGAGGGGCAGAGAGAGAGGGAGACACAGAATCGGAAACAGGCTCCAGGCTCTGAGCCATCAGCCCAGAGCCTGACGCGGGGCTCGAACTCACGGACCGCGAGATCGTGACCTGGCTGAAGTCGGACGCTCAACCAACTGCGCCACCCAGGCGCCCCGGCAGTCTGGTTCTAAAATGTTTGTCTAGGCGGTCTGGTTTTTGTTCTTAATCTCTATGGCGCATCGCCCCCCCCCCCCATTACTACTGGTGTCATTAACAGGGGGTGGGAGCTGATTTGCTGATCTTTCAAAGCAAATTCACATCGTTCCCTCATTTCATGCACGAGGAAACTGAGGCTCGGGAAGTGTAGTAACCGGCCTGGGTAGAAAGACAAAGATCAAAATAGGAGCCCAAGAAAGGAGGCTAGTGACACACGCACGGCTTGCGGGCAGAGGCTGCTGCTCGCGCTTGAGTGTTGCTAGGGAGCAGTTACACAGGGTGGTGAGGGAGAGGGCTCTGCAGGGTGGAGGCCTGGTGCGGCGAGCAGAAGCACAGGGGGCCTAGAGACATGGCAGTTCAGCCCCGGCCCGCCTCCTGTGTCCTGCCGTCGTCCACCCAACGCATGGCATCCGCACAGCGTATACTCCCGGGCTTCAGATGGGACCGAAGTGTTTTGTTTGGGCCACGCGGGCCTCCCCTGCCTGTTGCAACTGTTCCCGCAAGGGATTTGGAGGGTTAAGCTGAGCTTGCTTGAGACAGGATTTTGAGTGATTCAAGAGGTAGAAATGGCATGGATTGGAAGAGGGTGGGTAACCGGCAGATTTCAGTCTTGGACAGCTGGGTAGGTGACCTAACGCCTAGAGGAGGAGAAACGTTGTCGTGAGTGGTTCAGATTTGGCTGTACTTGGATAGAGGAGCCTGTGTGACATTCAGGGATGGCCAGAGACCATTGCATTGGCTGTGCAGGTTCAGCAGGATCCCAAACCTGAAAGCAGACCAAAAAGAAATTGCTAGCAATGTAGGGGTGATGGGACTAAAGGACGTACTAGTTAGGATGAAATTTGAAAACCCAAACCAACAGTGGCTTAAATAAGATAGAAATTTATTTTCCTTACAGTCCACAGGTAGACATTCCAGGACTGATGCCAGGTCAACAAGTCACTAGGAGCCCAAGTTCCTTTTAGGTTACTGTCTTGCCGTAGGTAGCTTATTGCCTCATGGCCCAAGATGACTGCTGGAGTGCCAGCCATTATGTCCACATTCTAACCGTCGAGGAGGAGGGGGAGGAGTAAAGAAAAGCCCACCCTCTCCCTTTAAGGAGTTGCCCTGGAAGTTTGCATTTACATCTCCTTTGCTGGAACTTGGTCGACTGGCCATGCTTAGTTACAGGGAAGGTGAGAAATGTGGATGGTGTTGTAGGATTTAGGGCATGCGCCCAACTATAAATGCAAGCTTCTGTGATAAAAGAAACAACTGAAAATGGATGCCGGGGAAGGAAAGAATGAGCGAGTGGGTACCAGGAAGATAGTCGCGACTTTGGCTTCTTTACCTGCCGTGTGACCTGGGCAAGTCGCATAAGCTCCCCGAGCCTCTGTGTTTTTATCTTTAAAATGGGGAGGCCCGGCACCCTCTTGGGAGGGTTAGAAGGGCTGACATGCTTGGAGAGATGGCTCAGAACAGACCCTAGGGGTCCAGTAGTCGGGAGGTGGACGGCTGCTGCCCAACCTCCCTTCCTCCAGGCCCACGAGGACTCGGAGAAGCTTCGGGAGATCGTGCTGCCCATGGAGCAGGAGATTGAGGAGCTGAAGGCGAAACTGCTCAGGGCAGAGGAGCTCATTCAAGAGATCCAGGTGAGGGGGCGGCCGGGGGGGTTGCTGCGGGAAGAGGGGGCGCCGCAGGACCCCGGCCCCCCAGCCTCTTCCCTGCCCCTTCCCCTAGAGACGGCCCCGGCCTCCCCCTTCCTTACACGGCTCCACGGAGTTGCTGCCCCTGTCCCGGGACCCATCGCCCCCGCTGGAGCCTCTCGAGGAGCTGAGTGGAGACGGGGGTGCGGCGGCCGAAGCCTTCGCCCACAACTGTGACGATAGCGCTTCCATCTCTTCCTTCTCCCTCGGTGGTGGGGCCGGCAGCACGTCCCTGCCCCGCAGCCGCCAGGCCCTGAGCCCCGAGCAGGAAGAGACCGCCTCTCTGGTGTCCACGGGCACCCTGGTCCCCGAGGGCATCTACCTGCCCCCTCCTGGTTACCAGCTCGTCCCGGACAACCAGTGGGAGCAGCTGCAAATGGAGGTGAGTGGAGGGGGCGGAGCGGCCTGCCCACGTGCTCGCATCCACCTCCCCCTTCCCCGGATGCTCCCCGGGCACCCCCCACCCCTGGAGCTCGAACTGGGGCTCAGGCAACAGAGGCAGGGTGACCGGTTGAGAGATGCCGCCCCCCCCACCCCGAGATGTAGAAGGCAGGCCCAAGGGGCATGGTGAGGAGGGCAGGCCTCCGCTCGGAGGCTGAGACCGAGGCCGGCATCCGTGGCAGGGCCGGCAGCTGCAGAAGGACCTGGAGACCATCAGCCGAGAGCGGGACGAGCTGCAGGAGGGCCTGAGACGGAGCAACGAGGACTGTGCCAAGCAGGTGGGTCCCGCTCTGCCGCAGCCCCAGCAGGGCCCCCGGCGGCGGCCTGCCTCCTGGCCCCAACCTCACCCTCACCTCCTTCCACCCACAGATGCAAGTGCTCCTGGCCCAGGTCCAGAACTCAGAGCAGCTGCTGCGGACCCTGCAGGGGACCGTGAGCCAGGCCCAGGAGCGGGTTCAGCTGCAGATGGTGAGGGCTGGGGGCCGGGCACGAGGTAGAGGAGTGTGACGGGGATTGGCCGAGAGGGACACGTGGAAAGGTCAAGACACCTGTCCTGCCCCGCCCCCCGGCGGCTCAGGCTGTGCCCTGGAGTTGGTGTCCGTCGGGCGCGCGAAGGGTTTCCAGGGCACTGGGCGCTGCGGTCAGAGCAAGGGTTCTGCGTTCGCACGGGGCCCCCCACGCACCAGCTCGGTGATCCTGAGCTGACCCCACAAGCTTGGAGCCTCTGCCTCGGCTCCTTGAAATCGAGATGGTGGGACCTGGCGTGCACAGTCGTGCGGCTTAAAAGCAAGGCTTGCAGAACCGGATACTCCCCGAGTCCAGCCGGGAAACGTACGTGATTCTCCCGGGCCAGGTGTAGACAGGAAGGCGCGCTGCGGCCGAGCCGAGAGGACCGCAAAGGGCGCCGCTGCCCCTCGGCTCTGTGACCGGGGCCACATGGGAATGCGGGCTCGATGCTGCCAGGTTTTCTGATTTGTCCAGAGAAGCCAGAAGCCTGGGTATTTGCGTGCTGTCTCCTGACTTTTAAAGTTGACAACTAATTAAAAAAAATTTTTTTAACGTTTGTTTTTGAGAGAGAGCGCGCGCGTGTGCATGCGCAAGTGGGGGAAGGGCAGAGATACAGGGAGACACAGAATCCGAAGCAGGCTCCAGGCTCCAAGCTGTCAGCACAGAGCTTGACAGGGGGCTCGAACCCATGAGCCGCAAGATCATGACCCGAGCTGAAGTCAGACACTTAGCCGACTGAGCCACCCAGGCGCCCCTAAAGTTGGCACGTAATTGAAGCTTAAAAACAACCAAAAAAAAGTATGGACCAAATAAAACACTCGAGGTGGCCCTCCACTTGTAACCTCCAAGCCACCGAGGCAGGTGTATAAAGGGGATGCCTGGGTTGCTCGGTCGGTTGAGCATCTGACTCCTGATTTCGTCTCTGGCCATGATCTCACGGTTTGTGAGTTCGAGCCCCACATCGGGCTCTGTGCTGATGGCGCGGAGCCTGCTTGGGATTCTGTCTGCCTGTCTCTCTGTGTCTCTCTCTGCCCCTTCCCATTCACGCTCTCTCAAAATAAAAAATTAAAAGAAGAGTGTATAAGAAGCTTGGGGGTCAAAGGCACTTAATAAAGGGTGCTTCTTCCTTTCTCAGCAGCGGAGGGTGTCAGGAGGAGGGGTCAGGGTTTGGCCTCACGGGGCTCTGGCGACACCCTGTCCCCCTCATCCCCTCCTACTGACTATGCATCCCCAGGCAGAGCTGGCCACATCACACAAGTGCCTGAGCCACGAGGTAAAGCGGCTGACTGAGGAAAACCAAGGACTCCGGGCCGAGCAGCCGCTGTCTTCAGCCCCCCGGGGCCTGGAGCAGGATGAGGGTCACGAGGAGTCACTGCCCAGCTTGGTGCCGGTAAGGGGAGTGTGGGTGCTGACAGCCCGGGGCCCCCCTGCTGGCCCTTATCCTCCACGCATAGCAGAGCATTGGCCTGGGACCATCCCCCCTTCCCAGCCTCGGTGTAAAGAGAAGATGAGTTTGCAGAGCGCTTGACGTGAAGGAGGCAGTGATTTGACTGTTGTTGGTTTTTTTTGGTTTTTTTTTTAGTTTTTAAATGTTTATTTATTTTTGAGAGAGAGAGAGAGACAGAGTGAGAGTGGGGGAGGGCAGAGAGAGAGGGAGACACAGAACCTGAA